GAAAGCAAGGGGGAAAGATGGACGAAGAACATCTCCCCTGCCGACGCAAAGCCCATTTGTAAAAACCTACGGGCTTTAAAAGGCTGTTGGACCCCAATCCCACCCTCCCCACCTCTCCACCTTCCCCTCCGGGGAGCCAGCACAGCCCAGGAGCTGCCCCTCAACCCTGGAGCTGAAGCAGCGGGCGCCCTCGCAGCAGGATGACCTGTCCCTCGGCCCCGGCTCGGCCGTCGCTCTTGCCTCCGCACCGGGGACGCTCACTCGGGGATGTAGTCCCTGAAAGAGTTAAAGCTGAGGCTCCGGCCCGCTGAGTTCAAGGTGGAGCTGGCTTGCATCTTGGGGATCTTCTCCATCAGCTTCGACACTGTCCTCCTCTTGAAGGAGCCCGGGGAGAAATGCCCCTGTCTCATGAGCTCCTGGTAGAGGGTGTTGAACACTGCCACGGTCTCTTCATAGCTGTCCCGGGTGGAGATCTCGTAGAAAGGAAGCTTCAAGGCTTTGGAGAGGTTTTCGCCATCCTCCGTGGACACCATCCTGTCGAACTGCAAGTCCTTCTTGTTGCCCACGATGACCACGGGGGGCTGCTCGCCCGCGCTGCTCCGCTTGGGGCTCGAGTGGATGTGGTTGATGAGGAAACACAGCCGCATCCCCTCGTCCAAGCTGCACCTGTCCGTCACCGAGTAGACCACGGCGAAGCCATCGCCCCATTTGATCTTCTCCTCTATCTGCAGGGAATCCTCCTCCTGCCGGGGCAGACAAGCTCCTATTAACACCAGAAGCCCCAACATCTCCTAAAGACCAACACTGCTGGTTGCAACCTAGAAAACCTCCCAAGGGGGCCCGTCGCCATCTCCTGGAAGGTTTTTGCCCTGGGCTTGCACACGGCCGTGACGTGCAAAGCAGCACAGTAGCCCAGGGCAGGAATTTGACGGGTTGGGCAAAATGACAGATGGAGACGGCAATCAGCCCCATCCTGATGTGGACGAAGGGAGAGTTAGTGCCGCTAGAGCGGGTACACAAAGGTAGGGCTGCTGCTAGATGGGAAGCCAGCCCAGGGCTCTCCATCGCCCGCAGTCCCGGTGCTTGGTGGCTCCTTCGACCCAGCACCCTCCTGCTCCCTTGAGCTGTCTCCCTGCCGTCAGGATGCTCCTCCGACGCGGGGAGCAGAGCTGCGCCGCACACCGCTAAGGGGAATAGGAAAATATTTGCTGAAGCCACACTGCAGTTGATGTTAGAGAGACATAAATTCTCCAAAAACATCCTTTTTCCTGGATAAACATGTCTTGATCAGTACTTCGGATACAACAGATTAAAGCTGGTGGAAGAGCCGGGATTGCCTTCAATGGCAAGTGGCACTTCCCCAGCGGTATTTCCCAGGTCAGCCAGCTATGAAACGGCGTGAGCTCACCTGTCCTGCCGTATCGAGGATCTCGAAGTGCACCATCTCCCCGTCGATGACGGCCATGTGTCTGTAAATCATTTCTGGAGGGGGACAGACAGAAAAGTGTGCGTGAGGGAAGCCCCCGGGTAGCAAATGACAACCCAGATGGCATCGATGAAAGCTGTGCTGGAGAAGTCATTTTCACCTGCTGCAACCTAAAGCCCATGTGGCCTCCGTTTCGAGTCCACGTCTTAAGCTGGTCCTCAGCCTGTCTCCCCACGCCTGGGACGGGCAGCCCTGCGCCCATGGCATCGAGCCCAGCATCTCCGACGGGCAGTGGAGACCCCCAGCCAGCACCCGGCCGGCTTTCGCCTTGCTGGAAATAAAAGGGCAACGGTGACTGAAGCGTTGGAGCAAAAAGGGGTCATGGAGCGATGCTTCTGCAAAGGAAGAGGGGCTCAGCAGGAGGGTATGAAAAGCTGGGGTTTGTTCTGCTCGTGCTCCTGACCCAGCCCTTTGCCCAGCCGGCCTTGAACTCCTACTCCGAAGCAGCGGGGGAGCGGCTCCTTCCTAACCAAGCAAGAGAAGCGGCTGCGAGGTGTGCCTCTGGGCAGCTCTTCCAGCACAAAAACCGCTTCGAGCGTCACTCATGTCATCAGGCAATAAAACCAGCCGGCACTCTGCTTAGCAGCCGCTCCGGGCGCAGCATGCCCGACGGGACGCCTCGCTCCGTGCAGACGGAGCGCCTCGGTCACGCGGGTTCGTGTGCCACCCACGACGGGGCAGAGCGGCTGCGAGGTGTGCCTCTGGGCAGCTCTTCCAGCACAAAAACCGCTTCGAGCGTCACTCATGTCATCAGGCAATAAAACCAGCCGGCACTCTGCTTAGCAGCCGCTCCGGGCGCAGCATGCCCGACGGGACGCCTCGCTCCGTGCAGACGGAGCGCCTCGGTCACGCGGGTTCGTGTGCCACCCACGACGGGGCAGGAACCCGCTTGGCGTGGCCGTCTACGGGGTAAACCAGGCACCTTCCCCCTCCTCCAACACGGGGAAGCACCAGGTACACTCACCGTATGGTCTCTGTATTTTATCACATCATATGGAGCGAGCCCAACAGGAGGAAGAGAGGAAAAACAAATTGCATGCCGAGGAAAAAAAGCATCGCTCACCATAACAAGCGAGGAGTGGGGATGTAAAGGACAGACGGGGCAACGGCAGGGTTGTTTTTCAGACCAAGCCTTTCCCTCGGGTCCCCTGTGAACCAGCTAGGTTAGAGCAACACAGAGACTTCCCAAATTTCCCAGCCCGGCGGGTGACAGCAGAGGCTAGGCAGAAGGATGCGCAGCCAGGGACCGGTCATTTCTGGGATGCCTCGGAAAGACATGACTTCAGTGCCCAAAAAACCTCAAACCCAAATGCAAAAAAAACCCCCTAGAAGACAGGAAAGCAGTAGCCACTGCTCCAGTGGCTTAGATACCTCCTTCCCCCTAAAAGCCACCTCCCAGCAAATTGCTCGAGGCTGACCAAGCACGCTGTGCTTCCTTGTGCGATGCCGATGGCTCGCCCCAACAGATTTTGCCTTAACAAAACAACAGAAAAGGAAAAAGGGATGCAGGATCCAGGAGGTGCCACGATGGCTGGTGGCTCTGACCACTGCCAGTCTGGTCAAGGAGAAAGAGGAACGAACACGGTGAGTTTGGGAGCAGGGTCGGCTCTGCCGGGAGCGGCGCTGGGTGCGCCGGAGTCTCCAGGCTGAGCCAGAGGCAGCAGCAAAGGCAACAAGAAAAAGGACTTCACCTACCCAGGGTTGGGTCGTAGTCTCCAATGAATCTCCTGGTGATGAATCTTACGGTCAATGCTGTAAAAAAACCACAACAAATCCAGTTACGGTTGTCAGATCAAACTGCAGAGAAACATCGGCTGATTGAGGCGGGAGGGATGGAGCAAAGACCTGCCCCAGCCTCACCAGGAGAAGACATCCCAGCAGCGATGCTGTAGACCCGGCCCCGTGAGGACCAGGTTATTGCAGGGTTGGGAAAAGTGTCTTCAAAGGCGCCCAAACAGGCTGGGTCATTGCTGCGTGCTGGCTGGGGCTGCCCTGCGATGACCAGAGAAGACTACAATAATGCAGCAAATTGCCAGATCTTGGTGGCAAAAGGTGAGGGTGAAGCAGACTGGGAAAGGATCACGGTTGCCCGGGTGGATGCCTTGGACCAAGATTGTTACAAGCCCTCTTTTCTCCCCGCAAAGTCCTCGGGTGACGGCACAGCCCCGTGCAGGTTAAACCTGCCCTCTGCCTTGCTTTACCCCGAGTACAACGCGGGACAAGCGCGTCGGGACAGGCAGGAGCCCACCCAGGCTGACAGCTCGCACCTCACCTCTCCTACGCAGCCTGAAAAATTTCCAGAGCTCGTAGATATTGGGCATTTCAAAACAACCGCATTGGAGCCCCGGGAAAAGGCTAGATGTTTTTTGCATGTTCTTTGCAAACGTTTGCATCGAGGACCGAAACCCACCGCGGGACAGGATGCCCCAGGCAGAGGAAGAGGTCTCTGCCCAGCTCCATCAGCGACACACCAGGCACCTCTGCCCAAAGCTGCCTGCTGGCTGTCAGGTCAATGAAACGCAGCCCAGCGGCAACGGAAAGCACCGATGGCCCCCCAGATTGGCTAACCCAACCTCTCGCCTTGGGTTAGCCAATCTCTCCTGCGCCGCTGCTGTCAGAAACATCCTTCCAGGTCGCGCGGACACAGCAGCTCGGGA